CTTGTTACCCATCAGCTGATGCTAATACACGTCCGCCCATGCCTGTGGAATGATGCGTCTTGAATGATCGTGCCCTTAGATAAAAAATAATACTGGTTTCTCAAGTTCACCCACCAAAGAATTGGGATATAATGATTCCCAAATAAAAATCACTTCCTAAGCACAGAACATTTGGCTAGAATGTGCAGTGACATCCATGATGAGACACAACACGACCTCCCAGAAGCTGGTTCCAGGAGTCCATCCATGAAGATGCTGTTGTAGAATGAGGGCCTACAAAGTTTGTCTCCAGTTGTTTACAGAATTTAAAGTGTGGCTTTTACTTTCAAAAGCGATTATGTAAAAATGGATTCTTCTTACTCAGCATATTTTCTTGTGCGTATGTAGAATCGTGCACTTCCTCTAGTGACAACAGTGAATTTTCCCTGTTCTCTGTACCAGTTAGCTCTCGAGTGTCAGTAGAGCTACTGAAGAATGATTGGATCCTGTCCTTTCTGTACATCATGACATTAACTAGTCTTCGGTTAGTCTACCTGGTCTTTGAGATTTTTTTGTTGTTGTTGTTACATCTATATAATTCAGTATTGCTGCAAAGAGGTGATTTAGTTTGGTCTACAGAACCTTTGTCCCTGGTGACAGTGGACAAGAAGATGATAATCCAGATGGATTCTCAGTCCTCAATAGATTTGCAGGGCTTGCTGGGAAAAATAATGTATTCAAGTTTTAACATGGCATCTGTCATTGTGGTATTGGATTGTATTCCAAGAGTACATTAAGTATCATGACTATCAGCTCATGGGGTATAGGTTGTAGTTGTGTTGGGCTAATGACCTAGGCAGACAAGGTTCTTTAGGTAAATCTGATGACTTTTATTAGACCAACTTAAATAGCTGGAAAAATTCTTCTTGGCAAGCTTTTGGGTATAAATACCCTTCATCAGACTGATGATTCCTTCTTCCTTCCTGTCCCTGAGGAAAAGTTACATGTGGATTTTTTTAATGCATGACAAGGAAAAATTTCAGGTAGCCAGCTTAGATCAGTTCAGGACAAAAAGGAGGTTGTTAGTGTAACAGGGTTTGTTGAAGGATCATAGTATTGTATTCTGTAATTTATGGGGGCTGATTTGCTCCATGCCCATGTCGATTGAATTTCTGTAGATGAGTTGGGAAGTGGCCTTGCTAAGATGCATCCTTTCTACTCATCTACAGCCAGGGTGGAATGTAGTCTTCTAGTTAGCAATAAATAGGTAGTAGAACCTTACGTAGTTTGGTTAGAGCTTAACATGAGTGAGGAAACCAGGAGCCCTCCTAAACTCCATATTGATTAGACCAGTTGTGAGGGTGCATTTTCAGCCAACCAAGCAATTCCAGGGCTACACGCATTTGAGTTTTTTCCTGCCAGACACCACAATTTCAACTTCGATTGAGTTTAGCTTCACTCAGCTAAACTCCATCCATGAGCTGAACCTCAGCCAAACACTGGGTTAGCTGTATGACAATGACAATTATACAGATGGCACTTTCATATGCCTTGGACAGTGTTTCTCAACCAGGGTGCTGCATCACTCTGGGGTGTCTTGATCTCCTTTCAAGGGTGCCACAGGACATCATGCTATGTCAAGCATTTCATGCTATGTCATGCACGTGAAAACGGTTTAATGTGCAACACGTGCAGTTTATGGCACTGCAAAGAGGTTTGTGGTGCCACAACATGCCTGTGCCTGCACATCTGGATCCAGCATCTGTGTTTCCAGGAGGACTTACTCTTGCACAATTGGTCATAATTGGAAAAAAACTTTTTCTTTACAGTCTGCCTTCCAAAAACAAGATGTTTTATTTGCGGGGGTGTTTATATATGAGCAAATACATGGGTACAGAGAGATTCTCCATTAAATTAGTTGCTAAATTAATCTAGAACAAAGAGTGACATTTCCTACTGTGCGTCCTTAACCTGGTAGATTCACTGTTTCAGAAAGCCAAAGATGTATAGCTATATTTGAAGAGTTGTTTGACTTATGAATAGTAGCAAACAGTCGAGAGAAATACTTGGGCATCGTGTTCCTGGATATAAATTGATCACCCCAGGTGCCAGACAGGAATTTCCCCTTCCACATGGGTATTATATGTAGTACAGATGTAGTACAACTTTGTCTTCCTCCTTCTGAACCCTCAAATGTTTGCTTCTGTTAGAAGCCAGAATACTGGATGTAAGAGTCAAGGCACATCATACAATGGTAAATCCTATTTATAACAATAGACTCATTTCTTTCTTTGAATAACTTGAATAAAACTCCTGATTACAATGGCTTCTGTGGTGACCCTTCAATCACTTGTGTGTCATCTTCTCTCTCCTTCAGAAGATGTACTTGGGAGGAGCATGGGAGAGAGGATCTCTACAGTATGATAGAGAGCAAATATAATTACAAATCGTATTATTTGACTTGTGAAAGCAAGCATTATTTAACTGGGATTGAAACCAAAGAGGTTAAACAACAGGGCCAACAGTGGTCATTCTAGATCACATTTGGGGACACAATTTTTTTTTAAAATTGTTGAAGAATAATATTAGGGTTCAGTGCAAGTTTCTTTGTGTTGTTGCCTCTGAAGGATACTAAGGGAAACCATGCTCTTACGCAGTCTGTTCAGAAATATTTTATCTAATCTCGTGAAACTACTCGGGTGCAACCTGCCTCAGTTTTGTTTTTGGCTCTAATAATTAATAGTACCAATTTTAAAATTATTCTGCTGTTTCATAGTTAACTAAAGCCAGGAAATAGCCACACTGCCCTGTTTTGAGCTGCAAGTGATGTTAGAGCTTTCAGTAGAGCTGGTTCTAAGGAAAAACAAGGTCAGCTCTTTCACTCATGAGCATGTGTTTCTTTTTGTGAATTTGTCACATGATAAATGCTAATATAAATCATACAACTAGTAAGTAAGTCTTATCCTGTATCCATATCCCATATTCTCTTCCCTGTATCTGAAGGGGCATGATGAAAATTGATAGAATTTTGATGTCTTTCAGAGGTAGATACCATTCACCATATAAAATGAGTTAATTTGCCACGTTCTAGAAAAATCTCTTAAACACAGGGAAGCTGTCTGTCTTCCTACCTGTTTAGATGGCAGTATTCAAGCATTCTCCTTCTAGCACAGGCCTCAAAATATAATGTAACATGTTAATGATACTTCAGTATCCTTCACCAGTCTTGGGCAAAAGCTTTATATCTGTTTGGTTCAACCTATATAGGTTCAGTTCTTGAATGCTGAAAATGTTTCAGATCCTCTGCTATTCAGACGCAACTCTTTGATGCTACCAGTTGATTGTGAGAGTCTTTCCAGTTATGCTGGCACAGGGGCGGGGAGTTATTTCGGGCGGAGGGCCGTTTACTGAGTTTGGCATGTCATCAAGCCCAGCCCCTTGACAGGTGCCCTGGCCCTGGTTGCCATCTTGGGACCAGAAGTCCTGCCCCTAACCTCTGACCTTTGCCACCCAGAAGTACTCCTTTCAGCAAGGGGGTTTGCCATCTTGGAACCAGAAAAACAGCAAATTATATTCTAAAAATCAAACGTACTACAACGTTCGTTAATTTCATTTCAAAAAATATTTTTGTCCTGATTTACATGTCTT